AGCCCCTTTGAGACGAATGACGTGTCAGTCGAAGAGCTCAAGGCCTCCGTTAACCTGGAAGGCGAAGATCCTCAAGATGTGTTGCAGTTTGTCAATGTTGTACCTGTTATTGAGCTACCGGAGGAACAGCCCGCATTGGACGAGCCGATGGATGACGTTGCGACAGCCGACGTAAAAGTCGAGCCGAAGGTTGAGGAAATCGACGCGGACGTTGAGATGCCCGATAGCTATACAGTCGCAACCGACGAAGTACCTGGGCCTGATACTGGTATCGCAGGCGTAAATGCCTTGCCGACAGCACCAGAACCTGATCCACAGATGGCGAAGATCGAGGCCGAGGTTCTTGATGTTTTGGCTGATGATGAAACGACTGTTGAAGAAGGTGCAACCGGAGATGTTCCTATGATCCCTATGGACGCGGACCAACCCGCAGAGGGTCAAGCGTCTTCGTCTGACCCGAGACCACCATTGCCGCGATTGCGAGGCAAAGGGCAGGGACAAGGCACCCCTTCGGTCGCTCCCGTAACGGGGAGCTTTCTTGCACCTGAGAACAACGACAGCCCCGACTTGAAATTTTCTGGAAAAGGGAAGGGCGTTCTCGTTCGCGAGACGAAGCCTAACCCCGAGTACAAAAATATGCAGGTCGAGGTTGAAGAGGTTCTCGGAAGGTATCCTTACCCGGATCACCTACTCAAGGCCATCGGGAATGGCAACATCCAACTCCTCGAGGATGAGCTGGGCCGCGACGCCAAGCAGTACGTGCTGTACCACGTTACTGGCCATAGGTATTATTATGTATATGAGGATTATCATCATGGGCCTTGGGAGTGGTGCTGCTCCTGGCCACCTCATGTTCGTCGCGGTATTTCTGGTCTTCTTCGTGGACACGTCCCAGACGTCAGTATTTATGATCCGGCGTGTTATTTGCCAATTTACAAACTACTAGATTTGGCGAAGGCCAAATTCCCTGATTATGCTGGTTCTATGAATGTTTTTGAGTTGATTTCGATGGCTATTTATGACCACAAAGATCGTTTCGAATTTCAATGCGTGTACGACTCTCGTGTGAACGAGCAGCTCGAACTTTTCGCCGCCCCCGTCAAGATCCGATGTGGACAAGGCCACACTGACGACGTTCTCGAGACGCGATCAAATGAAGTGCTAGCAGTACTAATCTACTGCCGTCCTGACCATGTACACAGGTACAATGCTCGTTTGACAGCGCACGGGAACCGCGATATACCACCTCGGCTTTACCACCGAACGCATGAAGGTGCTGCGCGATCCATTATTGCGAGCGGGCTCATTCCCGGCGGTGGAGCCGGTGGACCGAAAAGCAAAGGCAATTCCTTCTTTTCAACACAACCTCTGGGAAACCAGAAGGCGATATCTGGTGTTCGTGCTGACCGACCAGTGGAGATTTGTTTTTCAACACCGGATGTGATTGAAGCAGGAGTTGATCTTTTCCTCACAAATTCTGGCGCGGTGATTACCAGCCATCACGTTCCGAATACGTGTATTCTATTTGCAACTCGAGCCCGCGCAAATGCGGAGCCAGAAGTTTTCTATTCGAGGCCGCAGGCATTGGATCCTTCGAACATTGAGGTCGGTGTTCCGCAAGATGATGTGACATTGGTCCCGGGAAAAGTGTCGGAAGTACGCACCATTTTGGAAGGTACAAGCGACGCCACTCCCGAAGAACGCACAGCTAGCAGCAGTGCCGCAAAGAAGGAAGAGATGGAGGCAAATCGCAATACAGCTGTACCACAGATCGAGAGTGGATATTTTCTACATCTTCGAACTTTCAGCTGCGATAAATGCACGACACTTTCCTTAGCAGGAATGGCATCTTGTCATCGATGCGGAGTAGTATTTCAGAGCAATACAACAGATGGACCGATTTCAAAGTTTATGCGACTTCAGATGAGGCGTGCAAAGGTGCTACAAGAGCAGGGGGGCGTGCCCAAGAACATGACCGCAACAAGCATGCTTGACAGCATTGCCGCGCAGGACCTACAGTCTGGACGACCTCCAGCTCGTGGCAGCCCGTCAGTTGACAGTCAGATTATTCTTGCAGCTCGCAGTCGCCTTCGCAAAGCATTGAAATCAGGGTATGAGAATGTATTCGATCGATTCAACCGCGACGACGTCTTCGCCACCTCCTTAACCGGAGAAGGATGCACAGCGTTTGATGCAGCGCAAGAAGACTTGTTTGCGTCACTGCAATTACCGGCACCCACGAGATCAGCGAAGCAGAGATCAAAAGGGAAGTCGGTTGTCAGTGATTTAGATCGACTGGACAGGGTTGACCTCGCCAAGCTCGCGTATATTCGATGCGGTGTTGACAACCTACATACCTGTTTCAAGCAAGGCGTCGACGAGAACTTTCTGATCAGTTATCGCCGAGAGTTTATGTCACTCCGACAATACGCCGCCGTAATTGGCGATAGCCGAGATGAGATCAAGATCCAGGGCTTTATCCCCACGACGGACGTCTATGGCGATATTCATTCAATTCGTATTCCTCGTGGAGACACGACAGGCATTTACAAGATTTTGAGTGAATTTGCAGAGCAGAATGAGAATTATGCAAACATTCAATATCAGAGAAACGCGCAACAGTCTGCAAATGTGCAGGGACGCGATCGTGGACAGCCAGTTTCACAGATGGGCTTCATGAACATCGAACAGCGCATGGCCACGCCTTATCCCAAGTTTGCCGATTGTGGCCAGGACATGTCGTCTGACGAAGTCAGAAGGTTGGAAGAACTTTTGTTGGAGTTTGGACAGCGTGGATCCCCATCTCCTCAAGGACCTGTAACAAGGCCCCCGTTGACGCGGAAGCGATCGCAGATGTATATGGAGACTATTGGAGATGCAGACAAACGACCGAGGCTGCAGTGGAGGAGGAAAGAAGACCGAGATCAATCTGGTCGTATTGCAACTTGGGTTGACAACCGGACTCCACCGCCAGGCGTGCCTCAGCCGCCAGCTCCCGTAACAGGGACGCATACCTCGTCGGTATTCAGTATGAATGCACCTCCTGCTCAAGGACAAGTTTCAGGAAAGGGTGACTCCTCTAAACAGGATGTCGGTGAACGGAGAGATGTTTCTGGAAAGGGCAAAGGCCAAGGCAGTTCTTCGGCAGCAGGCTCAGCCGCTCCCGCAAAAGGGACGCCGCGTGGTTCTGTCGCCCGAGCAATTTCCCAGAGCCGTGTCCTTCCACCTAAACGTGGCAACATCCCCAAGGACCTCTTGGGTCCCCCAACTTCACCGCCACCGTTACCAGCACCCAACAACCCACCTGCAACTGGCCTTTCACCAATCTCCAAGCCACGTCCAGCAAAACCTTCACCTCCGAAGGTCCCACCACCAAAGGTGCCTCCTCCAAAGGTTCCTCCACCGAAAGTGCCACCCAATACAGCCAGTGGCATTCCGGTACATACAAGGCCGACAGATTTCAATCTCACGCCGAAGCCGCCGCCGCTTACAGACCTTTACAGTCGGTTGCAACCTTCCGTAAAAGGAAAGGGCAAGGATAAGCAGCAGGTGAGTGTTCGAGGAGGACATTATGCTCCACAGCAATGGAATGTACAAAACGTGCCACCGCCACCATTGCCACCCGGAACTTCATCCGCTTCGGCATCATCGTCACATAATGCACCCTTAACTGGGCCGCCGACTTCCAGCATTCGTGGAACTATTGATCGACCATTGGAACCCTTTGATTTTCCTGGAGTACAATGGCAACGCGATGACCCATGGGGCGAGAACTATTGGCCCAATCACATGGAATTGTGGGAGTGGTTGAGGCAGGGATGGCATGACGAGACGGAGCGTTTTGGAATACAATTTCTTTAAGCAGATGTTGAATAGCTACCATAAATGGTATGCCTTGCAGCTTATGAGTGTTGAGATAAAGATCACCTTCTGACGCGCTGTGAGATGATGTTTCACTTCATTGTCTCACTTCCCAATGCATCCATAACAGGATTGCCATAGTCGGAGAGTGAACTTTTAATCAATGCTTAACACTAACCTGGGCCTAGCATGTTTAACCACATGCCGAGTGAGGCGAAAACTGTACATTAGGGTAGCTACGTTCTCCTTGTATAGTAAATGCACGAGCTTGATGAGGGATTTCTAATATGATTCCTTCGTCGCTAGAATTTGATCCTCCCCGAGATTTTCCCTACGGGTAGCTCCTTGTAAAGGGGGTGTTGAAATTCACCTCATCCCCATGGACCCCGTAGCGTTGACTCTCAAGGTAGAGCAAAAGGTAGCGCTTACCGGACTAGCAGGGTTAGCTAGGTAGTTAGTACTATTAGAGCTGATCCTGTAAAATACATATATGTATCTGATCACATCATATTTCGCGTGTCGAGCATTGTCCACCTGACTGCCTTGTCTGACAAAATAGGTGTTGACAGCTGTTTCTTTGATGGGACATTGGAATGCGTTGCTTTGCTTTGGCCCATGGGTTGAGAGTAGGGAGGCACCACCATTTCTTGCTTTGGATCCTATCCCACAACTTCAGAGCCATAGCCTACAGAAGGAATGATGGAGCCACATGCTGTGTTGGTCTCAAATTCGAGTTTTCCAAGACTTCAGAAGTGCAGTCTCACTCTATGTTCGGCTGCTCAGGATGTCCGTTTCAATTCTTCTTGCCACTGACTAGTCTTGAGCCTTCAAATGACCACTGCTTTGTCGCAGCTCAGTTACTTGCGTTGTAGACCTCAGAGCATTTGTTTCTTCATGAAGCCGTGGAGACCTTTGTTCCCATGAGGAGTCCTGCAAGCCGTTTTCCTTTTTGGTAGATCATCGACCTACATACAGCCTGCAAAATGGTGTGCAGATTTGCTCTCCGTGACATTCAGCAACACAGGAAGCAATACAGAACTCCATCAAGACATGTTTATCCTAGATGCAGTAGCATTTGATTTGAGAAGCAAGTGTAGCATGCAATGCGCCCCTTCCATCGCTCCATTCCGCCAGCCAAGGCGTTTGCGCTGGAGTTCATCGTGCCCCGTGACTCACAGTTTGTTTATCTCGCTCATTTCTGAGGGTAGCAGTTTCAAGTTTTGACTGAATCAAATCATTAGATAGTTTTCAGCAGCTGATCATAAATAAGTGTACAAAGATGCCGCAGCTTCAAGTTGCGCGGGTAAAAGGATCCCAAAAAATGATTGCACTGCTTGACTTCTTGTTAATAAGCAATAGGGGTTGTTACATGTTCTTACTTCAAGAATCTTCTAGCACCTTCTAACCTGAATAAAGGTGTCGCAGGAACTTTCGGAGCAGTTTGGAACCCAACTCTGGAATCAGGCTTTGTCTGCAACCTTTTTTAAAACCGGGGAAGTGTGGATTAGGCCACAACTATTGGCCAACGGTGGAACCCAGCTCGCAACGTGTTCCCTCACTTTGGAATCCTGTGGCTTTGGCCAAGTTTTGATCTGATGCTTTTTCTTTGGAGCCAGGACTTGAGAGCAATTGTCCACCTCAAAGCCTGAAACGAAGATGAACGAAGCATTGATCGAAACTTGTGCACGAAACCTCAAGACCGAGCTTTGGAACCCTGTTATATAGCCGGACAATCTGGAACTTTGGATCCAGGTGTTTATTGCAACTTGGAACCAGGCTTTGATCGCATGGAATGCTGTGACCTTGGAGACAGGCCTCGCCTGCATCCAGCTACTAGTTTTTAATTCTGGAGCCGGCCCCTGAACCAAGTACATTGCATCGCTTCTTTAGCTCTACTTGTTTTGCGTTTTGGACGCGGCTGCAGTTTTAAAGAGACCAAAAGTACCTCTCATTAGTTGTTTGTTCAGAATGCTATAATGCTGTCTATTTGGGCCTACGCTGGTGTAGTCTTAGTGTGTGTGTGTGCAGGACACCTCACACTGAATTCATGGCAAGTCGTTGTTGCTGGTTTTTGTGACTTCAAGAGGCAGGTAATGGGCAGCGGAGGTGTTATTGATGCGTTGGTGCGAAGCCAAATAAGTGGGGCTGGGGCTTGGGTGCATTTGACCAGAATTCACTTCATTTTGTTGGTCGGCACAAGTGGTTTGGCATAGGTGTTGGTCGGGAGAAAATGATATATAGAAACCAATTGGAGGTGTTAAGACGGAGAGAGAGAGAGAGAGAGAAAGGGATGTGTCTTGGAAGGGCCTGAGTTCACACGAACATAATTTATACGTACACTGAGAATCGCTTGGTAAGCCTGCTGATATTTTGTAGATCGACCGGCTCTTTGATTATTTAGAGGTTGTGGCAAATGTGCCCTCAGAAGAGGGGCCGACTGTTTGTTCAATGTGCAAGGCCGAAGTCTGCAAAGTAGAGACGCGGAACACAGTACTACACAGCAGAACCGCACGCAGCACTTTGCCGGGAAGGCTATCGCTATTAGGTTGGAGGCCATTACTATTAGGAACAAGAAGCTGCTAGGAACAAGAGCTTTCTGAGACAAATCTCTAGGCCCTTAGAGTGACAGGAATTCAACAGCAGGTTTTGGCTCTGATGTGGACCCCTTTGGGGGCGACATGAGGCCGACCTGGGTCGCAGCACGGCATGGATGGCGCTGCCTTGGCGCTTAGGAGGTGCTTGCAGAGAGCCTTTCCAAAATGGCTGAGGAGTTGCACGATCCTGGCAGTAGCTTGTGTCCGTTTGGCTTGGTAGCCCTACCACATCCGCCTTATGCAGGCTCGTGAGCAGCAACTTGGGCGCATTCAGGCAGCCCTTAGGGGTCAGCGGGTAGCACCTGACAGAATTACAGAACCAGTGGCAAAGTGGATTCCAAAGGCAGAGCTTAAGAGTCCAGGCCCTTAGCTTTGTTATGCCAATTGTGCTTCCACTTGAGCATTCAAGACAGCTGTCAGCCAAGTTAGATCGCCAAATGCCAAGGCATGGAGTGTCATTCCACGAGAGAATTGTTTGTGCTCCACATGGCGAAGGTGAGGACAAGAAGATTGGGATCTGGGTGGTTTGTGCTTACTCGCTGTGGGACATGCCACACTTGCGCATTAAGAACTATGGCTGGCCTTGCTAAGTGCTGTTTGAATTGCTAGTGGTATTGGGGTCAACTGAATTGACTGGCCAGGAAAGCGGCCCACGCTGGCACAGGCAATGGAAAGAGGCCACGGGACATGCAAGATAAGCAAACCGGAAAGGTTTTCGTTGGATTTCGTAGGAATGGACAGATTAAGTGCGGAATAATATATTGTGAATAGTAAATGTATGTAAATGTCATGTGTGAACTTATAGTTTACTTCAATCCATTGTGATTTTGACCACAATGTTCTGAAGGGTTTTCCAAAAAGGCGTTGACGATCCTTGAGAAGCTTCCGGAGCTGCGCCGTGACAGCATCTACAGGATCATCAGCGCCCAGGAAACAGGCCAGGTTTTCCATAGTTTGTCAATGCTCAATTCAATGCTTGTCATGTTTATTGGCCATCGCTTGTCAACTTTCAATGCTTGTCATCGCTCATAGTTTGTCAATGCTTGTCAACTGTCCCACACTTCTATTAGGTTGGAGGCCATCGCTATTAGGTTGGAGGCCATAGCTATTAGATTGGAGGCCATCGCTATTAGGTTGGAGGCCATTGCTATTTGGTTGGAGGCCATCGCTATTAGGTTGGAGGCCATCTCTGTTAGGTTGGAGGCCATCTCTGTTAGGTTGGAGGCCATCGCTGTTAGGTTGGAGGCCAGCTCTGTCAGGTTGGAGGCCATCGTTATTAAGTTGGAGGCCATCGCTATTAGGTTGTCAATGTGTTTTTTCTAAGCCCTGACAATGAAGCTGGCCAGGTCGACAATGGACAGTCGCGGCTTGTGTGCTCACTCACTTGAGAATATGCAGCATCCAACAGGACGGAACTCGTTTGTGTTGAGAGCTTGACAATTTCTTGAGATGGCTCAGACAAGACTGTTATTGCTGTTGGAAAATGACCCAGGCACCAAGTGCCGAACAACGGTGTTTCACAGGAGATGGCCACCATGCTCCCAGCCATCAGTGTATTTGGGAGGTGCTATTTGTGGACGATGGCCGTGCAAACGTTACGAGGAGCACAAATGAGGCACTTGGAAGCAACAGCACTGTCATACAACGCTGTAGTGTCAGCCAGTGGGAGGGATCCCAACACTGCCTGGATGCAATGCTTGGGCATGTTATCCGAATTTGCCGACAGAGAACTACAATGGACAACGGCTTCTGTAAATTCAGCAATAACTGGCTGTGGCAGGTTGCAGGGTTGGCAACAAGCTTTGCATTTGCTTCAGGAAGTGCAGAATCGCAGTTTTCTGATGAACACAATCACCGCCGGCGCAGCTATAAGTGCTTGTGATTCGAGTGCACAATGGCAGGTGGCGCTGCTTTTTGCAAAAGCTCTTCAGGAATCAACGCTGCAGCATGGCCTCACGGCATACAGTGCAGCCGTCAGTGCATATGCGACAAGTGGGAAGTGGCTGTTGTCCCTGGAGCAGCTGTTTCAACTGAAACAGTTGAATTTAGTGCCCACCGTTATTGCACCCAGTGCGGCGATCAGTGCTTGTGAGAAATGCAAGCAATGGTCGACGGCACTGAGTATGTTCAAACAACTGCAAGCAAGGAACATACATGATTTGATCATGTATGCTGCGGCTATTCGTGCTTGCGAGAAGGGCAAGCAGTGGCAGTTTGCACTTGGCCTTTTTGCTGAATGTGAACTGGAAAGAACACTGTTAGGCTCCAATGTTTACAATGCTGCAATCAGTGCATGCGAGAAATGCAGCGAATGGGAAAGAGCAATTCTCCTGTTTTCTAAGCTCGGCGTGCAGCGTTTGAGGTATGACATCATCACATACAATGCGTCAAGCCGTTCATTTATTGAGGGTTTTCAAGGAAACAGTCCAGGAAACAGTACTGCCAATCAAACAATAGCTATTGTCAAAATAGAGTTTGGAAACGATAAGTAGGTCCGGTCTGAATGTTTGACGGGACTCCAGTTATCTTCCAAGAACGTGGCCTAGGCTTCTGCTTTTTCAGAGTGCAATTGTGTGGCCCAGCGTCTCATCAATCTCAGGCTGCCATTAGTGCCTGTGGCAATGGTGACCAGTGGGAATTTGCGTTGGCATTATTCCAAGAATGTGAGTTCAACAGCGTGGAACGGTCAGTGGTAACCTATGCTGTGACTGAGCACAAGCAGTGCGGCATGTTTGATGTCAGATGGTGTTATAGCATAATTGTTGGCAAATTACAACTCTTTTTCTCACAAATGCGGATTCCTTCATCCAGTTGAGGCCAGCATCTCTGCATGTGAATCTTGTGGGCTTTGGGACCTGGCGCTTGATTTGTTTTGGGCGTGTCAGAGATCTGGCTTGCAGCAAAGTCTAGTTTTGTACAATGCAACTATGAGTGCTTGTGAGAAGGTTGGGCGATGGGAAATGGCACTTGGTATGATGTCAGAACTGCACGACGTTGGCTTTCAAGCTAACAGCATCACATGCAACGCTGCTCTAAGTGCCTGCGAGAAGGGCAATCAATGGCAACGTGCCCTTGTTTTGTTTCAGATGCTGAAAACCAGTGGTCAGGGGACATTTGTGACTCATTGTGCCGCTTTAGGTGCCTGTGCAGAAGGAATTCAATGGCTGTTGGCCTTGCAAGTACTTGGCAATATGAGAGAAGTGCAGATGCATTCTTTGGTTGCGTCATGCATGGCAGCACATGCTTGCGAATTTAATTTTCAAACTAGTAAATTTAGAATGGTTTTGGCCATATTGGAAACCGATCTATTAGAATTGTTAAATGAAAATATAATTTAATTGATGGTAATTCAATATTTCTCCGATGATAATAGATAGAAATATATTTAGTGATATTAAATATATTCTCAATTTTTTAAATATTATGTATATTGAAGGAAACTAAAGCGCCATTTTAGCCTCAAGTTGCGGCAACCATTTCTTTGTAGTTCTTTACGCTATTGATACCCCTCCTTGCGGTTTCTGCTATCTTCTCGGAAGCTTGATTTTTGATCGTATTGTACTTTCTATAGCCTTAACGTGCTGAATGTTGACAGATATTTTTGTACCTTTGGCTGTACTTTCTTGCTACTTCAATCATAGAGGCTAGGATACCTGGTCCCAAATCTAGGGGATATGGACGCCCAAGCTCTAGTTTACATTCAGAGCTCCTCTATAATGTTTAGCGCGAGGGTCATCTAGGATGTTTCCGTCCTGGATAGGAGTGGAATAGGTACCCGAGAAATCCTGCATAGTTCCACGAAGCTTTACGAGGTATGGTTATGGATGGAGAGGCCACGGCCTTGTGATCGCCCGGGCGCATACAGTGCAGATTAAGCGGGCTTATAAACGTGTTTGTTACAGAGCTGTGCAGCATGGATGCATAGCATATAGAAATCCGCCCGCACCGAAGCTGCCGAGGCGTTTTTATAAGGCACGCATTATACCGCAAGTACAGCAAGTACTAATAGCTTTAGCTAGGGGGGGGGACCACTTTCGCTCTAGAATCTTGTGTTTTTTTTTTCACGTTTTTGGAGCCGGCTTAAAGTGCTGGAAGATAAATTCGTGCTAATGTTTGCTATTTTGAAGCCTTTAGGGATACAAGAAATGCAATTTTCTGCTTTGCATTATCTGCATCATCTGGACATTTGGCTGAACAGGTTCCCCTAACGGGGCTCAACATAGCTTCCATATTGCGTAACCACTATTTAACGGACGTGTCTGCGAGATAGGGACTTGAACGTCCGGGTACGTGGCTGGTTAGGAGCAGAGATAAGCAGATCAGGTCCAGGAACGGTAACATTATCTCACGAGCATAGCTCCCATATGGTCGAACACAACCCCAGAAGTCACTATCTCAAGTATGCTTCTTCGAGATAGGTACTTGAACGTCGTAAACGTGGCCCGACGAAGGCTCAAAAGGGATTGGAATAGAGTGAAGATATTGCCTAACATAGCCCTAGAAGTCACTATCTAAAGGAAGTGTCTGCGAGATAGGGATTTGAACGTTATAAATTGGAATAAAAAACACCCCCCTAACGTGGCCAAACATAGCTTTCATATTGCCTGACACGTTGGGCCATGTTAAATCCCTATCTCGAAACATGGAATCTATGCTCGGCCACGTTGGGGAGGGGGGGGCACTTCCGATTGGCCCCTTCTATGCGGTGCAGGCGGTTACCGTCGCGAAGCGACGTGAATAAGTAGGTTATTTTTGCTTTAGATGCACCTTGGCACTTCAAAGAAGCTTTTCGCCAATGACTACGACCCCAAATTTAGAAGTTACTTACTATTGCCTTTCTTGGGATTCGTTGTATGACTTGGAGTGCATCGAGGTCCTTGGTATACGAAGAATTCTTCCATTTGTGTAGGAGACGGGATGGCACATGAATGCCACTTGGAACGCCTTCGGGTGGTATTGCCTCTCCACTGCTGATAAACACGCATCCATTCTGGTGTTCCTTGACAACGACGGAATAGATTGCCTTAGCAATACACATTGTCGCCAGAGTGCTATAGCTTCGCCTTATTCTCGATCGTACTTATGATTTCTTGGTAGTATATTAATACTCTTGGAATATGCAGAAAGGTGTAGTTCCGCTTCTGGCCAAGCGAGCTCATTTTTGGCAGTGCCTGACTTAGGTCCTTAACCACATTCCCAAATATCACATGAAGATTTATTAGGGGATTTTAATGCGACACTCCCTTTGGCTCGTCTATATATTAGGAGTCTAGATGAACGAGTCAATGGCACATCCTATACGGACCGCGATGTGTTCCAACAACTTCTTCGAGCTTAGGATTTGATTGCATTGCATTGCAAGAGTTACTATATTACTACTTTCACCCACGGCTCAGACAATATTAAGTTTAGTATAGATGCATGCCACCACAGGTGGGTTTTGAATTTGTAAGGAATTTTGGGATTCTTGGATCACATCACCACCTTCTGATCGTGGTGTTGTCTAAATGGTTCGGAAATGTCTTTTTTCTCTGCAATAGTATTGATAGATTTGCGATTCGACAAGCCAACCAAGATGCTACCCCCACTGGGCCTGTATCCGTGACTGTATTGATCACCATCAATCTCGTCCTGGATCGAAGCTAGAGGAGTCCATCCGTGCTTTAGAGAATACCATTCGTATATTGTGTATCCAATATTTTCCTAAACGGAAGTTACCTGCACCGTCGGACGCCCTGATCCCCTCCATCTCCGCTAGGATGTGGAACGCTAGGAAATATGCATTCGCCATACGAGGCCGACGGCTTCAGGATCTTTTTCGGTGTTGGGCACATATCACAACCTACCATGCCTTGCATAAAGCCATTCGTAAACAAAGTCGAATTAACAAACGAGCTAAAATTGTTAGGATGCTTTCAGATGGAGCCGATCTCGCCCTATAGGGGAAACCTTCGACTGGCTCAGGAAAATCCGGCAGCTTTGTCAGGAAAATCCGGCAGCTTTGTCCTAAACAACCTGCTCGACGCATTCAGCTGTTTGATGCCCATGGTATGCCCCTGAATCCAACTCAGGACCTCATTGAATTAGAGAAATGCTATATTGATTTGCTTGCTGATCCGGATCTATCTGCCTTCGATTCGCGTCCCTTTCGTCGACTTCCGTTCACCCGTCAGGACGTGCTACTGCCTTACTAGGCACCAAAGCTTCAGCGCCGGACGGGTGGATTATTTTTGACATAGTCTCAGTTATATTGCGCCGAGGTGAAGAGCCATATTGCGGGCATTACCAGTCGTGGTTTCGAACAGGCGGGAGCCGTTTTCTCACAGAAGATTGCGTTCGAGCGATTCCCTATCCGCATGTGCCTGATTGACATGGATTGAAATATTTATCTGTTTTGGCTTGTTGCTCATGATCACCTCATGCTTGCTTGGAGCCGGATTGTTGGAATAGCCTCCAATTGTTTTGTTCCCCTGGAAAGCCATTTTTGAGTTGATTCGATTCCAATATGAGCGGAGAGCTCTTTTTGCCGGAAATGAAAAAACAAAAGAAAACTAGATTAGTATTTATAAATGTGTGTTAAGGAGGTGTTTTTAATTTGTTATTGTGGTGTGTTTTTTTTCTCTATTTTTTCTTTATGTATGGCGTTGTTGATTTTCGTTTTTTATTTTAAATATATTAATTTAAAATTTGTAAATTATAAATTGAATTGTATATTTATATATTATAAGAGTAAAATATATGTTTATTAAAAATATGTATTAATATTTAGAAAAAATTGTAGTTATTAATAAATAATTAATATTTATATATATATATAAATTTTTATAAAAGTAAAAATTCTTAATATTTTTTTAAAAAAACAATTAATAAATAATTATTATTCAAAAAATAGATATATACCCAAAATATTTTTTGATATATTTATTTAATTTTAATTCTTGAACCACTACTATGGACAACTATTCTTACCCAACGAAGGCGGATTTAAGACGCTTTGTCGGCTAAACGGGCCAAATTCCGTCTTTAAGCCATGGATAACGAGATGCCGGACGTGTGCGTGTTCGTCCCAGATCTTTGGGTTGAAGCTTTGGTCAATTCCCCGGATCATCTTTCCCCCATGGAACGCATTCGGGCCTGTCCTGAATACTATCGAACTTTCACGTAGGCAGGAACGCTGAAACGTCACATGAAGCAGGTACACTAGGTCTTTTGCGAGCCTGACGACGTTTTTTTTGCCTTTACGAGACGCTTGGCAAGGACGTTCGATATACACGCATTGTTCACACGTCTTCGTTGATTTTTACAGACTTCGTGACCATATCAATAAGCATACGTGTCCTCGTTTTGATCCTGCGCAGGAGTCGATCGTGCCGATCATCAATCGACCCGATCTCAAAATGCATTTGCGACACAAGTTAATCCTAGGTCTGTTGTTGAATTTAGCCTTGATTAATGAGATTGCCAATCACTGCACTTTTTGTCACATGCGGATTGCTGCTCGATCGATTCGCAAGCATTTTACGGAATGCTATCCGGACCTGGTTCATCTTGCCGACTACTTTCGTGATTATGTTTAAGGCATGGCTAACATAGGAGGAGGCCGTGGCAGATATAGCTTTTGTGATAATGAATGCCGCGATACCAGAACACATGAATATGGGGTCCTTTTTTAGATTTCGCTCATGATGGGACACACCTTTCAACCTGACCACTTCTCCATCATGCCTGTACCGGAAATACCGAACCTAGCTCCATCTCCATTCCTAGCTCCATCTCCATTCCACTACTGACACCGGCTCACCTAGGTTCGAATGCAGCATCGTCGTCCACGACGACTAGGCCTGATCCGCCTGTCTATCGTGCCATTGCGGTTGATGAGTCACATGCCTCTCCATCACCATTGCATGTATGTCCCCACTGTCACACACGCTTCCTGACAGCCACAGGCCTTGAGAGACACATGTCAACTCACGGACATGAAGTTCAGGCAGATGGCAACCTAGTTCGTGCCGCTAAGATTCCGAAACTTGACACAGTCCCGGCTATGTTGACCAAGCCCAGTCAGGTCATTGTGACCCCGTCTAAGTCGTTTAAATGCCCCTTGTGCTTGGAAATGATTGGCCGTAAGGCCTTAGTCGGTCACCTGTCCAAGGAGCATCAGGTTGTGAAGCCACCGTTCTTTGTCTTCCGCCCAAGTCGTGACATGACACCGGGACGTTTGGCATGTGCACGCTGCCATACCACCTACACGACCGAAGCTGCCCTTCGATTGCACTACCAAAGAGCCAGTTGTCCCATTTTGTTGATTGAATGGGTCAAAGATCAACACTTTGGACCA